TGTCTCAAATTGTAGATAATTAAATATTAAACCTAATCTAGGTATGAAAAGAAATATAACTGGTTCACATCTCACGAGAACCCATAAACAATCAAACAACAAAGTCATGTAGCTAACCATCCTATAACAAATCAATGGTCTACCTCTCACATATAGTCAAAACTCATATTCACGAATAACCGGTTATTCACAAATCATCCACACGTAACGGTTCACTGCCCCCTCAGACCCACCCCAGTGCTACACAGGAATTTCACTGGTGTGAGCCTGGAAATAATCAACAATCACATATCACGACACCTCAGACCCACCCCAATGCTACACAGGAATATCGTTGGTGCGAGGCTGGAAATAATCAACAATCACATATCACAACTCCTCGGACCCACCCCGGTGACTACACAAACTTCACCAGCGCTAGCCCGGAAAATACATCAACCATCACAACCGCTCACATGGACTAAGACTTCTCATCCCAATTCTCGTAATTCCAGGTCAACTACACACGAGATTCTAGATCCTAACTGTGTCATACAGGTCATTATAGTCATAAACTCCTAATAATTCTCAATCACAACATGGAACAATCAATGCAACTAATCATGTGCAATAATATCATAACATATCAGATAATCAAAATAAGAATTATAAATCATAAACATCATCTACATAATTTAGAAAATAATCTTTTTCTAAGTTAATTCATTTTACATTATTTCGCTTAACAATTAATCTAAACTAATTTATTTTCCAAAATAAATTCTTTTAAATTATTATAATTATCTAAAAATGATTCTTTTTGCCGAACTAAATTCTTTTAATTCCTTATAATTATTCTGAAAATACTATTTATCAAATTACCATGATATAATTAATATTCTTCAGCAAACAATCTCACGCAGGTTATAACATATCGCCGTCTATTCTATGCAATCAATTATTAACAGATATAAATAATGGAAATATAGATCAAGGGAAGTGGGATCTTGCCTCGGGGTTCGTCGAATGATTCGACGTCGACGGCACGGGTCTGATCTGAGAGCGGGTGGAATGATGCGTCGAACTCGGGTCGGCGTCGCTGGTCGGCGTGGATCTCGGCGAGTGAAACGTGGCGTCCGACGGTGAACATCGACCAAGGTGAGCGGCGGCCAAGGCGAGGTCAGATCTGAGCATGGTGGTGATGGGCTCGACGGTGTCGGGGAATTCAATGGCTGAACGACGCGGGTGGAGAGCATGTCGCCGGCGTCGGATCTGGAGGTGGTTGGGCGTGGCCGCGAGGTGAGCGTTCGTCGAGGTGGAGCGGCGGCATGAGGGCGTGGATGTTCGTCGGAGTTGAGAGCTGGCGGCGGACTGCGGTGGGCGGTGCTGATGCGGGCAGGGAAAGGCGAGTCGGGCGGCGACTGAGGTGGCGCGTGGGCGGTAGTCGGAGAGGACTCGCGTCAGGCTGGAGCGCGAGGCGGTGAGGGAGCGGAGCAAGCAGGGAGAAGGGTGCTTGTGGCGGCAAACCCAGCGATGACGAACAGGGGTGGAAGAGGTGGTCGCTGGCACTGGCGAAGGCGGTGGGCCGCTGGGGTGTCGAAGGACGGCGCAGCTATCGGGGTCTGGCTGGAGCTCAGGCGGAGCTCGGCGTGGGGTTCGTGGCGGCGGGCGCTGGCGACGGCTTAAGGCGGGCGGGGAGTTCAGTGCGGTCGGGTTTGGCAAGCGGCTCAACGGCGACGGGACAACGGCTCACGGCGGCGGTTTTGGATCTGATGTCGGGAGGAGAGAGAGGAGAGAGAAACGTGGGGCGGCGCTGGTTGAAAACAGAGAGAGAGAGAGAAGAAAGAAAAGAAACAAATATATATATATATATATATATATATATATATATATATATATATATATATATATATATATATATATATATAATATAATATTATATATATATAATATATATATATAATATGGAAAATTAGGGTTAGGGTTAGGGATAAACTAAATAAAATAAAATAATTATGGGTATTTAAAAATTAAAATAATTACAGAATAATTATCTGCAAACAAAAACGTACATGTTGTGCTAATACAACAGTTGATACGAAATAGTCAAAATATACCCATATTATATAATTAAACGAAAATAATTAATAATAAAAATATATTCACTTACATTTAAAATCAAATAATTATGGGATAATTATCCACACAGTAAAACGTACAAGTTATACCAATACGACAGATAATTTGTAAGAGTAGAAATAATACATCAAATTATACAAATAACACGTAATTAATAATACAACTTATTATACGAAAATATATGTAATAATAAAAATAATACAACGTATTATTCAAAATGACATGTAATAGCATCGATAACGCAAAAGATAAATTTCATAAATTTTCACTGCATAAAATTAATCTATAAATTTTAATATCATTTAAATAAATATAAAACTTAGACTTTAAATCACAGAAAATTATAGAAATTTAAGAAAAATACAAATACTCTTTTAAAAATCATAATTAAATATTTTAAAATATTAAAAAATTATTTTAACTAGTATCAAAATTTCACGGTCATTACAGAAAGTGATTGAGGGCGTGGCAGAAGGCACGTGGCCAGCTGACAAGTCATGAAAACCTTCAGGCTGCTATCAAGATAAAGCTTGTCCGAGGTGGACTGGGATGTTGACATGTGCTCAGGGGAAGAGACTTGAGGCAGAGTTTACTCCTCAATCTAGTCAACAAGGAATGTTTGCCAAGTCATCTCTGTGAGTCGCCAAGTGAATAGTCGAGTGCTCTTAGTGGGTCATCTTCGATGATAGGGTCGGCTGATCCCACCTTTCGTATTGTCATGAAAGAATATCAACTTGATGAATCGATGAGGTCGAGGCCTTTGTTGGGCTTAGGCCACTAAGTTGATTGACGCCTTGATTACTAAAATGCACTCATCAGTGCGTTGCTTATACATTATATTTCTAGTGAATGGGAACACCATAACACATGGCATGCTCCTTAGGGTAGCTAGTGCCGAGGCTCTCGGAGGTGGCTTCAGAGTGAGGGAGGAGGTGCCGACGAGGATCCTCCGGGCGAGTTGACTGGCGTTGTGGTGAGGTTGCATACTCGACGCGATCTCTCTGTTGCTTGGCGTAGAGTAAGGAGTACGAGGGGGTTGACACGCTGAGCTTCTGAAGGGGAGCGAGTCGCCGATCGCTGGTCTCCTGAGGGAGGAGGAATGATAGAAGTAGCTTGTTGCGGTTATGAAAACCAACTGAAGAGCTCGCTGGTAAAGGTAGCGAGTTGCTGTTAGAGGGATTGAGAGATCTTTTGAGCTATTTCTTCAAACTAGGATTGAGTAACGTAGCTCTGGTGTGGTCCTCCAGGGATGGAATGATCATCATTATGCTCAGAACCAGACATGTTCAGAAAAGAGAGAAGGCCCCACGGTAGGTGCCAAACTGTTGATGTTAATAATCACATAGATGATGTAGTGGGGGTGAGGTTGAGTAGGGGCTGCTAACTTCTCAAAATATCTAGTTTTGCGGTGATTTGTTCTTCCTTGTATGTGTAACAACTCGTAAGAGGATAGGGGCTAGTTCCCCGTTGTTCCTCCGAGATCAAGTCAGTGATGTACTTGAGTGGGAAAGTAGTCAACTGTGCTAGTTCTCTATTGCAATAAAATGGTAAAAATTTCTCAGAAATTGCTTACCTTCGCATTAGGAATAATCGTCCTTCTTATAATCATGCAAGAGGGGCATTTTAGTCTTTCCCCACCGAGTCTGAGCTGGCGGTTGAGCCAGTGTTGACTTTACCCGCGTTAGTTATGGAGTGGTCGCGGAATGGGCGCTGTCACTTTGGCATTAATGAGATGGGATAGACGGGGCATGAAACTGACGTGGTCCGATGGGTTATAAATAGTGTCGAGGATGGAGAAATGATAACATCTACCAAGTATTTAATGTGATGTCGACGCGCTGTAAGCGGGAGTCCGAGGTCAAAGTTGCCCTTTGACTTGTATTAAGGGGTGCCGAGAAGTAATACCTTTCGAGTCGACTCAGCGAGACGTCAGCTAATTAACCGGTTGAGTGGGTTCGTAAAGAGTCGCATTTAAAGAGAGGACCGACAAGTATCGCCATACGAGTTGACCTAGTGAGATGTTGATTCAGCGAGTCGGCTAGGTCGACTCTGGCTGTCCTAAGTGTCGAGTTGATTGAATGGTGCGTAACAGAGGATATTCGCCTGTTGTGGACAACAAGTCATAATTTGACGACTGAAAACATCATAACATTAATATATTAGGATATAATATCCAAATCTACTTTTTGGGTTGCAATATATAAACTATCTACAAACCCAAGTGTACTGTGATATTTTGATTATCTAATGTAATTATTTATGGTTATGCATTATAAAGTTCGTGCTTACATAATAAAAGCTATGCAATTTCTATTTTATTTTATGTGGCTCACTATTATTATTTGTGGAATCATGCATTTTTTTTACTTCAATATAAAATTAATTTTTATTCATAATTTTCGTGTTATTTGATGAGATGCAAATACTAATTTTTTTCATAGAGCACAAAGTGCTCATTGCTCATTATTCTTAAAGGCCCGTCATTAATAAAGCATAAAGAGAGTGCATGTTAACTATATCATAGCCGTGTTTTGCACGGCCTGAATACAAGTGAACTTAATCCGTAGGCTCAATACACATGTGATTCGCACATAATTTATATAGATTGGATTATTACCTTAAAGTTCATTATATATATACGGCAAATGCGCGCACATCATGACGTTGAACTCGGTATTGATCATTACGCAGCTAGGTGTTTGTCAACATGACATCACATGGGATCTCTCTGGGTCGGGTCGGGTAAAAATCCGTCTGGAATTGTAACCCTAATTTTGGGACGTTTGAGCACGCGCAAGAAACTGATATTTCTATAGCAGTATTATTCCCTATAAATACCGCGTACAAGTTGATCACTCCGCAACTCAAAAGAACTGCGAGAAATGAAGTCATCCAATTTATCCCCCGTCATCTTCATCCTAACGCTAGCCACAGTCCAACTCGCCAATGCCCAAAACTCCCCCCAAGACTTCGTCGAAGCCCACAACTCCGCTCGCGCAGAGGTGAACGTTGGCCCCGTGTCATGGGACACCACGGTCGCCGCCTACGCAGAGAACTACGCGAGTCAAAGGATCGGCGATTGCCAGCTCGTGCACTCCGGCGGACAATACGGCGAGAACATTTTCTGGGGTTCAACCACCGGCTACTCAGGAGTCGATGCGGTAAATTCCTGGGTGTCTGAAAAGACGTACTATGACTATGACAGTAATACTTGTGAGGGTCATGAATGTAGGCACTATACTCAAGTGGTTTGGGCTAAATCGGTGAAGATTGGGTGCGCTCGCGTTACGTGCAACAACGGCGGAGTATTTGTCACCTGCAACTATGATCCTCCAGGAAATTACGCGGGGCAGCGCCCTTACTAATTAAGTTCATATGTAGTGAGCACGGCTTATGATGACGTTTAACTACCACGTGTACTATGTGGGAATACAGTCGCTTTGCTATCATGCAAGTGATTGCGATCAAGTTTCCGACTTGATTGTATTAGTTGTTATGAATAAAACGGTGAACTCATAAGTCATAACATGCTTTTCATTGTAGTGATTTGTTTTAAGCAGCCCTTACTAATTAAGCCACGTCCAACCAAATTAAATAGATAGGTCATATATGTTGTTTTAATGGGTTAATTGCGAATAGACCATTATAGTATCACCCAATTGCAAAGAGATCTATGTAGTTCTATCTGTTGCGAATAGAACCCATATAGTTCTATTTATGCTAATGGATCCATTGTAGTATTTGGTTGTCTGTCCTCAGCAATAGAACCTTTTTTTTTTTTTTTTGGGGGGGGGGGGGGGGGAGGGAGTATATTCGCAAACAAGGAGAACCATAAAGGGTCTATTTGCAACAAATATAACTAATAGGGTCTTTGTAAAATTGTGTGATACTGCATGGAGTTTGTTCGCAATTAGCCCTTTAATAATTGAAGATGGCGGTTGGAGAGAAAAAAAAAAAGGTTTAAAACATATGAAACATTTCCAATGGCTACAAAGCCAAATGGACTGCGCAATATTAGACTTGAAGCGTGGGATATGGATCTGAATAGCAAAACCGTATTTACATCTAAAATTAAGCAAATCAATGAATTGATTGACCTGAGAGGTCATTACCGAAGCACACTGAGGATAAATTAAGTACCGGTGGACTATATCCATTGAACTAACAAGTGGTGGACCGTGGTTCATGCTACAAGTTAATCAATCACCTTAAAACTCAAAAAATTAGTGGATAAATAACTATAATATCATAACCATTAACTATAAATTAGAGAAATAATGCAACTCATGGGGTACGTATTGTGAATGTAAATACGGTTAGTTACGGAATGCACTAACTTTAATTTCCATTAATCATAGTATTTGATTTACATATTGGGTAGTAACGATTCATTTCATATCTAACATGCATACCCTAAAGTTGCACTTTTTCCTTTCTTACACTCAAAAGAAAATCATAGCATTTGTGATATTGTTGTGTCATCTCCACTACTTTTTAATGGCGGAATTGGGGGCAAAATAGTCAGGTTTGAAGGATAATCTTGTAAATATTATAGATATATGACCGTGATTAGATGAGTTAATAGAGTTGAGGGATAACCATGGAATTTGGATTGATGTCGATCCGTCGTGCGTTAACGTGATTAGATGCGTTGATATTTCTACGGCAATCCCGCCTTGACTGTGTTGGATTTTAAGATATTTTTTTGAAGGTAGACTTAGTTTACGAAAGAAAATTCCTGAAGATAATCAGAGATTACTAGTAGCTTACCCATAGATTAATTATCAAGTACCCAGATGTTAGAGGCGTTTTACATTTTGCTGGCACGTGTTCAGCATATTCCAAATGCAAAACTTGAAACCTTTGCACAGAATCCTTATAAAATTAACATTCGGTAACATCAATTTCAGTCTTTTCAAGACCAGAGAAATCAACATACCAAAGATATACGTCTACGCAATGCCACCTACTTTTCCTAAAGATGGATTTGGATCCTTTTCAATTAGATAGTAATTGGTGAGTGTCCAATTATTCCAATCAATTATATCCTTTCATTTCTCCAACAACTAAGATGAAGCCGAGTAGGATTCACATTGTCACAATACTAGTTTTCACAATAGTGGTTTTAAGATAATATTTGGACTCCTACGCTGCTTCGACCTTGAATATGGATTAAATGGTAGGGATTAAAGTAATTGGACACTCTCCAATTACCACCAAATTGTAGAGGATCTCAATCCGATAAAGATACATGTAGCTATTTTCAAATCTATAAAACTATACTACAAGGAAAAGTAATAAACCTATTCAAAGATATCAACATCTTGAAAGCTATTAACCTTCCACATTCCTTCCCCGTTTCTAATTAAAAATGGAACATGCAAAGTATAAGCCAATCAGCTCTGGCTGCGTTGAGAAACTGTGCACACAAAGAGACGAAGTAGAAGAAAATTACACATATCCAAAAGAGACTTTTAAAACTTAACAAATCAACACAACCAAATTTAACACGCATTATCATCTATAAATACCATACGATCGATATTTTAATTAATCAGTAATAAGAAAAATGGATTCACGTAGCTTTACCCAAGCTCTCATGTTGATTATAGCCTTGTCCACAATCCAAATCACCATAGCACAAAACTCTCCACAAGACTATGTCGATGCCCACAACGCTGCTCGACGAGCAGTGAACGTCGGCCCCGTGCACTGGAACGAGACGCTCGCCGCCTACGCGCAAAACTATGCAAGCCAACGAATCGGGGACTGCCAGCTCGTGCACTCCGGTGGGCCCTACGGCGAGAACATATTTTGGGGCCTGGGCCGAGAGTTTACGGCAGCGGATGCAGTGAATGCTTGGGTTGATGAGAAGAAGTACTATGATTACAACAGTAACACTTGTGCATCGGGTCAAGTATGCGGTCACTATACTCAGGTGGTTTGGGCTAAGTCGACAAGTATTGGTTGCGCGCGCGTTAAGTGCAACAGTGGTGCGATTTTCATTGTTTGCGAGTATTATCCACGTGGGAATATAGTTGGGCAGCGGCCTTATTAGTTTGATACCCCGTATCGTCATTGTCTAAGAATAACCTATTTGGATATAGCAGGTCTTAGTCATAATATATGGAATAAGGTTGTAATTGAAAATTTATCATATCGATGTTATTATGGATAATAAAACAAGATTAATTAATATGGTGTTTAGTTCCAAGTGTTGCTCAAATATGATCCAAACGGTTGAGCTTCATAAGTAGAGACAAGTTGCTCTCAAACGTCCACGTTAATGCATCAGAACTCTGAAGTTGTAATAAAAGTTAAAAATTGTTATTCTATATATAACATACTTTCTCAGGTTGAGCATTTTTTTAACGAGCAAAATATAAACTCAAGTAACAATAACAATTTTTTTTTTGAAGAAATCTGCTTTAAATTTATGGAGGTGGGAATGGAACATGGGTTGCTCTTTTACCATATATATTCCCAAGGTCCTTGCCACTATACCATAACTCCAAATAACTCCGAAACCGGGGTGATGAACGTCAAGGTTATAGCCTATACGTTTGTACTTTAAAAGTTGAGGGGGAAACATGGGTCCAACTATTCACACTCCTAAACAATAACTTTGGGGGTGTGTGAGGACTAAATTGTCCTTCTCCCAAACTAAACCAGGCCAAGTCCAAAAGGGCATTTTCGGCAATCCAACTCCTAAAGTTACTGTTTTGGAGTGGATATAGCAAACATGGGGAAACATGCGTTTTATTTTGTTTTTTAATTTCTTACCTTATTGTCAATCAATATTTTATTTTTATGCTGTAGAGGACGGAAATTAAGGCCCTAAAGGGACCTGTTCAATTCTTGCACAAAGGATTGGAAGGCAAAATTTTTGAGTCGTCGAGAAGTATAAAATCAACAGGTGCAATTCACATTACCTATCCTCCCAAAACCTCTTACATGCAGCGGTAGCGGTAGAGTCTCGACTCTCCATTTGCAACTAAGGGCAGGTTGAAATATTCAATCACCTCCGGTTATAATGAAAATTTTTTGACCTGTTCATTTGAATGAAATTAAAGTTGTGATGCATCTTTTCTTTTTTAAAATATAGTACACAATTTTTAATCAAAATCTATAGTCTAGCGTATTACCATGATTCACCTTGAGTGAAAAGCAAGCATATATGATACGCAACTTGGAATTAAAAAATGATTTTAATGCCTGAATTTGGCAGCGAATTATATAGGACATGTGATACATCTATCCTTGGATATATATATATATATATATATATACTAGTTGAGTTGCACATGCAATGCACGCGGTTAAATACCATGATTATTTAAATTAATAAAAAAAAATAAAGTTTTTTGTGGGATTGATCATCAACTCGATAATATCTCTCTCAACTGAAATATCATCATTGTTTCCTTCAACCCAGACTATGGCCACGTGATTTACTATTTGTGAGTTATACACATTAATCTAGTACAACATCTATGTTTATTAGTATCTTGAACTCTTCAAAAGATGGGTGATCATTCAATTCGTAAAGAAAATTTATATATGAATTTACTTGTAATATGCCCATTAAATTTTTAGTTGTGGTTTGATTCATATTCGCATTAATTTTTAGTTATGCTTTCACTCATATTTACATTATCTAATATTCTCATTCAATTTTATAGCTCATTCTCTGAATCATAGAAGTAAAACTGAAAGTATGAAGAATTATTTTTTTTTCGAAATTAGAGCAGTGAGATTATGATATATTTCGCTATGTGCTCTAAATATAAAAAAATTCCTTTGATGTAAGGTCCCTATCAAATCTTACGTACCCTAAACAATGTGAATGAAAAATACTATATATTATAACTCACTTATCTAGGACATTTGTATTGTATATAGAACGTATAACTCATCTGGATTATCTATATCTGCTAAGTGGATTTTACTGTTGTGATAACAACATGTTAGAGGCTCATATTCAAACTTTTTAATTATATAAAAGACACAAGAATTTAGAGTGCATAGCTAATATGTCGTAAAGAACATATTGGTTCATGAAGAATTTTTCCTAATAACGATATTATTACAGCGATATTACTCTTTAGTATTAAATCAATTTTATTATATAAGATTATATGACCATTTTTAATAAATGATAAAGTATATATATGGAAATCTCAATGTAAACTTACTTCAATTGGCCATATTTAACTTTTATAATATCAGAGGTTAGAATATTCTCTTTTGTTTAAAAAGTGTTGACATGATTTTCTTAAAAAATATATAAACATAGTAGCAATAGTATATACTTGAGTTCAACTCAAACATTAGCTTGAAGTCATTTAAGGTGATGTCCTTTCTA